TGCACCCAACAGCAGTTCAGAGTATACGGCCTNGTCTACATGTGTTTTGTGGACTTGGAGAAGGCGTATGACCGGGTTCCCAGGGAGTCACTGTGGGAGGTGCTGCGGGAGTATGGGGTGAGGGGGTCTCTACTCAGGGCCATCCAATCTCTGTACTCCCAAAAGCGAGAGCTGTGTCCGGGTCCTCGGCACTAAGTCGGACCCATTTCAGGTGAGGGTTGGCCTCCGCCAGGGCTGCGCTTTGTCACCAATCCTGTTTGTAATATACATGGATCGGATTTCGAGGCGTAGTCGTGGGGGAGGGGGTCTGCAGTTCGGTGGACTAAGGATTGCACCACTGCTTTTTGCAGATGATGTAGTTCTGATGGCTTCATCGGTCTGCGACCTTCAGCACTCACTGGATCGGTTCGCAACCGAGTGTGAAGCGGCTGGGATGAGGATCAGCACCTCCAAATCTGAGGCCATGGTTCTCAGCAGGAAACCGATGGACTGTCCACTCCAAGTAGGGAATTAGTCCTTACCCCAAGTGAAGGAGTTCAAGTATCTCGGGGTCTTGTTCTCGAGTGAGGGAACAATGGAGCGTGAGATGGGTCGGAGAATCGGAGCAGCGGGAGCGGTACTGCGGTCGCTTTACCGCACCGTTGTGACGAAAAGGGAGCTGAGCCAGAAGGCAAAGCTCTCTGTCTATCGGCCATTTTCGTTCCTACCCTCACCTATGGTTATGAAGGATGGGTCATGACCGAAAGAACGAGATCGCGGGCACAAGCGGACGAGATGGGTTTTCTCCGCAGGGTGGCTGGCGTCTCCCTTAGGGATAAGGTGAGAAGTTCGGTCATCCGGGAGGGACTCGGAGTTGAACCGCTCCTCCTTCGCGTCGAAAGGAGCCAGTTGAGGTGGTTTGGGCACCTAGTTAGGATGCCACCTGGGCGCCTCCCTAGGGAGGTGTTCCAGGCACGTCCAGCTGGGAAGAGACCAAGGGGTAGACCTAGGACCAGGTGGAGGGATTATATCTCTTCTCTGGCCTGGGAGCGCCTTGGGATCCCCCAGTCAGAGCTGGTTGATGTGGCCAGGGAAAAGAAAGTTTGGGGCTCTCTGCTGGAACTGCTACCTCTGCGACCCGACCACGGATAAGCGGGAGAAGATGGATGGATGGATGGATGGTTCTAATAAAGTGAATGATGAAATGTGGATGAAACCAGAATGATCCCCTGACTAATATATTTAAATAAGATGTGTGTTAACAGAGAGAGAGAAAGTCACAGTGGGAATTGGAAGGATTTTAGAATCAAGGAAATACATTAGGTGTTGAGTGAGTGTTATAGATGGACGTAACACCACAGTTTTGAGAGGATAAGACATGGTTTGCCTTTCCATGACATGACATGACAAATTCTCTATATCATTATTTTGTCCTTAATGGTTATTGGACTGCTGTTTTCTACACTGTGGTTTCCATTAGGAACCGAAGCAACTGTTTAATAGCAGAGAACTGACAAAAAGCAGTGACCAGGCCGGGGTCCAGGGATTGAAAGTTGGCGGAGATTTCATCTATTTGGATAACCTCTGATGAAAAAATGCTTCTTTCCTTGGACCATTTGCTGCTACAAGGAGAGGCTGTGGAAAATAATAACCGTGAACCTCACTGTAATGATAAAACCAAAACTCTGCCAGTTGTAATGATTGCTTCAATGAGAGCAGATGTACAGTTGGTAGAGGAGATAAGCAATAAAAGCCTCCTGGCATTTCAAATGATATCTGATATCAATTTGACTGATTCTAACAGCCCTCAGTACGTGTATGTTCTCTCTGGATGATGACAACAGGACATGACCTAAAATGTCTTCTTTTTTTTACTCCAACATCAAGGATGGATTTACTTCATGACATTTCCATTAATCCTTATGTTAACATAGTAATCCTCCAATCTGTGTACTACTGGAAAAAACAGATGTGATCTATTAGGCGCTTCATCATGCATTTGGATGCCGTATGAAACCATTATTCTGCCACTTCCTGTAGAACAATATTACCTCTGTAATGTGCCTCACAGGGCATGAAGACATTCCTGAACTTTAGGTCGCATGAATGCAGGCCGAAGAGAATATTGAGAATGACCAAAAGGCCCTGTGACAGAAAGGTAACATGTCACCAAGCATCCAGCCACATGTTTCCTGCGGTCAACCCGGCTTTCTTCATATGTTTATTAATTTATTTTCCTCAGGGCTTTCTATTATCCAAGCTTTCCTCAGAATTAAAACTATGGTCCTTGTTGAATAAAGACACACACATAAAAAGCAAGAGAAAAATAAAAGCCATCTTTGTTCCGTAATCATCATAAAACTGCTGACTGTCTTCGTTTTCCTCCGCTCACACCGTGTACGCTCGCACAAAGACATCACACACAGATGTCCATGTGATAAAGTCATGAAGCCGGCTTGCTTGAGAAGACTTTCCCTCTCTGCCACAGTGAGTGATATGAGCCATGCAAACCCAAATTACATTTATGATCTGCACCGTGCCAACGCGGGCACACAATCAAAGCCTTCCACTGAATCATTTAGCATATTTATTTAGCTGGCAACTTCACGAGCAGTCAGACCTGTCTGTGTGGACGCCCTCATTTGTATTTTCTGCTGACACGCGCTGGAAAGTGCCGAGCCAGTGACAGTCACTCTCTCATTAGCAGGTTTTTTCTGTGGAGGCTCCAGAGCCTGTGGGTGGCCTGGAGCGGTGCTTTCTTTCTGCATCTTCTTTCCATGGAGACCTGGAGCCTCAACTCACCCTGAATGTACCCTTTCCAATGTCTGAGGAGATAAAAAAAATGCATCCAATATTTCAGCAAATAGAAACCATATCCAAACAAAGGTAGGGAATAGTCATTACTTTAAACCAAAAGCACATGTAAGTAAAAAATGACTGGACACTTTCTGCATTGAAAGCACTGAGTTTGGTGCTGAATAATTACTGCAGCTCTCTGTCAAGGAAAGTGAGAAAATGATTTATGGAGTCTCTCACCGCTTTAAATTGAGAAAAGGTAATAAAATAGCCGTCAAAGCAAAGAAAGTTCAGTTGAATTGTTGAGGTGAAGACAAAGAGGAACATAAGAAGATAATAGTTGTGATGGGTTTACCTTCAGGAAAAACCCTTTTTGAAATACAATTATTGAACATCTGGTGAACACATCTGCATACGAGGTCACTCCCCTAGAGTTTTCCACATAGTCTGTTGAATAAGCTAATGACTTGGAAACATTTTATTTTTAAAAATAATTTACAAAGTACTTACAGAGAGAAACAAATTAAACCCAGCAAAACTGCAACTTTTGATGGAAGGGAAATGGAGTTTGTAATATTAAATAATTTACAGAGCACTGACGGGGAGAAAAAAATACTTCAAACCCAGAGAGACAAAACTCTTGTAAAATAAGAAAGAACATATTCATATGATATATTAACAATAGGCCAATTGTCTTGTTTATATGTATTCATTTAGAGAGGACTTAGAGAAAGAACAAATCAAATCCATTCTTTTTTTTTTAATGTTAAATTTAAATAAAGGAGCGTGAGAAGTTAAGTTAAAATATAAAAGGAGAAATCCACAGGGCATCAAATGAAACTCAATTAGATCATAACGAGACATACTGTGGAGACAAAAGCAGCCCATAATGCTGCTTCATTTGATGTTTTTTGCAAATGATGTGTCTTTTGTAAAAGATGATGGGAAAAATATTTCCCTCTCGTAGAATCTGTCGAAATAGGACTATGTAACGTTGTGAAATAATATTCTTAAAATTGTGACTTTTTGACATCAAAGTGTCCTCAGTGACAGCTTTCAGCACATGTTGCCACATCATCTGAAGTGGTGAGGACAGTGATCACATTCAAAGACGCCATTCAATTTTTTAATATTTTATCATATTCAATGTATAGGACAAAATAAGAAAATTGGTCTCTACCTTACCAAACATATCCTGCGTATTTTACTGTACATTGAGCATATCAAAGCATATTGTCTTTAGATCACATCTGCAATACATCAGGCGATAATGGGTTTAGGAAGTCTTATTTGTACTGGTGAAAAATGCAGACACAGTTGGTTTGGTGGTTTAAGTAACCCTTGAACCTTTTAGGGATTTACCGCATCAATATGCCTCAAGAATATGTTTTGAATTATCATTATTCAGCTTGGATTAAGTCAGGTGACATGGTAGCATCTCACTGAGATAAGAGCTCGAGCTAGATTTAAACCTGCTTAAGCATGTGAGCTACTTGTATGGTTTATGATTGTAATGAAATATGATAGCTTTCTATTATTAAGGGAAAACATTTACTTTCATTAGCCTGGAGGTTTAGTCATATTTTCTTAGCTGGCTTACTCTCATTGAAGGGGTTTAAAACAAATACAACTTCATGTATGAACAAGTTGCAACCATCTTACCTTTTTAACTGGAAGGTTCTGCTGTTTTTATTTCGCAATTCTGAAACCAAATCCGTTGACAGTTTTGGGTTTGTTTCTCACGTCAACCCAACATAGTCACAGGAGAAGTAGCTACAACCTTTCCGTTCTTAATAAGACGGTTTGATGTTTTTTTCTACATTGATGTAAGCTGTTCAAATGTTTTCTGAGAATGGATGTGCATCCAGCACATTATTTAGACCCCTTGAAAAGTTGTGTTTAAAACTGAATCTGAAAATAACTGTTTGCAAGAAAACTTCAGGGGACGCTTTAAGATTGGAAATCAAGTTTTACGGGCTTGTACTGTTCATGTCATTTAATGAAGGGTAAAGTAAAATTGCTATATGACGTTCTGCATGTCTGAGATAATCCAGTGTTCTTTTTGACATTTTAAATAGATTGCATTTCATGTTTCTACCTTTTTTAATAAGCGTTTTTCATGTTGCCTTTGTTCTACCTCCTGTCTTTTATTATAAAAACCCAAACATAAAAATGAGTAATAACCAGTCCTGTGTAACCAATGATACAAAATACATTCTTTTATTCATTCATCATACACAAATACGTAAATACACAAAACAAATCAGTATAGACACAAACAATATTTAGCGGGATATAAATCTTGACACCATTTACAGTACACACCATTTACACAAACTGTTTTGGAAATTCATGTGCTTGTCTCTCTTTTTGGAAACATCCTTATGATGCATTCAGTCTGTAATATCAAAGCTATCAATGCCTTTCGCCTGTGTCCATACACACAGCGCTTATCATTTTAACTACATCACTTTGAGTCTGCTCCTATTTCATCCCTCATTACTCTTCTCACCTAGATCATTTTGCTGCAACATTTAAGATTCATATTTTTATAATATGTACATGATATACATTGATTCTTAAATACATGGTCATTGTTTCCAATCTATTTACAATATAAGAGCTTATTGGTATTTTAAATGGTTAAAAAATATGTGTAGTTGATGCTCTAAAAAGAGGCAAATGTGATATTATGTTGACTGTGTAGCTATCAAGTGGTTGTTTAAGGAAGTTATGCTTTGGCATAAAAACAAAACTGCAGCTTATTTCATGAGAAAGAAGCGTGCTATCATATTTGGATGAACTGAAAAATAAACAGGGCTGTGTGTTGATGTTGATTCAATCTGCAATATGTTTAAAAAAGCATCGGGTTTACGGAGCATGTTTTAAGTCTAATCATCTTCTCAAGACTCCTCTCCTGTTGGCATTGTAAATGGAAAAAATTGCACTTCCATGGTATCCTTGAGTCCTGTTTATGTGATTGAAAAAGCAGAGCCGTTCTCTGGTTTGGTATCAGGAACACTGACACTGCCTCAGTGCAAACCCACAGTTTCTATCACAATAGATTGCAGCTGCATCTGACAGATCAAACAAGGTTTCAACGACGGACACAATACTTTATCTCTCTTCTTGTGGCTAAAAATGGGCCAAGGGGCTAATACCCCAGATGAAACTCATCACTCTGAAGTAAATATTCTTTCATTCTTTGGTTTAAGAGCATCATGCGTTGCATTGAAGTCTCCGTATGCTGTTACAAAACCCAAGCTCTGAAGTGAAGAGTGTATGCAATTAGTTCCTCATATGATATGACTGGTATTTCGTGGGTCTGGACTTTGTTACTGTTTGTAAATGTTCTGCATATAAATAGCTAAATTCCGCAAAACTCAAAAACAAACAAGATATTGAAATTCTGACTAAACAGATAACAAATGATGTCGGATCCAGCATTGAGACACAGGACATCCCACATCAGGTCTTTGGAGGCCGGTAAAGCATTTACTGTGCAGTAAAACATATGGCTTGTCTGTTAATTGTTTTTCTGTCTTATTTATACAAGTGGAAGTTTAATGAAAGACTGCTACCCCTGTGGCCTCCATCTAAAAAAAGGTCCTCACCTATCACAGCTACTGGCTAACTTTGTGGCTCCCTGAATGTCCCGAGTGTAAAAAAAAAATGTATTTGTGTGTGCAACAACAACATGAGCTCATTGATCACAAACCCATGCTGAGTGTGTGTGTGTGTGTGTGTGTGTGTGTGTGTGTGTGTGTGTGTGTGTGTGTGTGTGTGTGTGTGTGTGTGTGTGTGTGTGTGTGTGTGTGTGTGTGTATGGGTACAGGGATGGAGCGCTCGCAGCAGACACATTAAAGCAAATCCCATTCACTCCCTGCTTGCCGAACAGCGAGCTTAAACCCACACAGTTTGTTCTGTCTCTTGTTAGTCTCTGTCTTGTTCTCCTTTTCAATACCGCCACAACCCGTCCTTTAAGAAACTTTCCCTGGCAGATGGAGACAGAGCACTCTACGCCGACAGCAGCTGCCCCCCCCCCCCCGCTTCAGATCTTCTGGCACATGTGGAGCCTGGACTTGGACGATGAGGTGGCGTCTTTCCACACCTTGCAGGAAAGGCCCTTGGCACAGTCGCAGCGCTGGAAGATCTCCAGGCCGTGAGAGCCTTTCTTCCTCTGCTTGGTGCAGACCTCCCCCTGCCTCAGCACCGGCTTGCAGATTTTGGTCCAGAAATGGCGGGCGCAGCAGTAGCCCTCCGAGCAGTCGGATGAACGCAGGCAAGGGTCGCCCTCGTGTCCTAACAGAGGAAGACAGTAAACAGCACTGGTCAGCGGAGAACCAGCAAACAAAAGATCTACAAACTGTTGACACGTTGACATTAACGTTAAACAAATGCTTAATCAGAGACATGAAAGAACTTTGTGAAATCGCCCAGCGTCTTGGAGTTTGGCTGTATAGTGATTCAGATTATAAAGCACAGGAAATCTATGATTATTGTTTGACAAGCTGTTTTCCATAAAGATTCCATACATTTTTATTCAGATTGCATTATGTGTGGACACGTTTAATTAACAACATTTAAATGTATTCTGTGTACTTACCATATTGTCCCATCTGGTTTACATATAATATTCTTGGTTGGATGTTACCATTGTGTAATTTAGTCATGCAGTTGCAAATCAATATCACCTCCAGTCAAAAGCGTCAATCCACAAACCACTCAATCCATACGGTTGATTAGTTATCTAAATATAACGTTTGAATCATCAGCGTGAGGGACTGCTAAACCTGTTCATTGCTTTAACACCACTGAATTTCTCTTAAACAACAGCTTGTATAATTCCACTATAATGTTATAAGTATAGGCACAGTGAGTCAAGCCTGATAAAAGTAAATGCGCTCATTTATAGCAACTTTAAGTAGTGGTGCAATTTTCACATTGCTTTTAGCGTCGCAGCCTGCTGTCTTGAGGGTGCATTTAGAGTTGAGTAATTTAAGTGTCTCATTAAACCTATTGCTTTATGGATGGGCCCTTTACAATAACTTAAATGGTGACATGAACGCTAAGCTGGGGGCTCAGGGAGTTATTAGCTATAATCATGCCAAACCTGCATTCTGTGGTTTTCACTTGTGTGCTGTCAATGAAAGTGTAGGTGCAGAAACAGCTCTCGCATTGTGGTTACTGCTCGGCTCCCCACGCTGCGCTCTACGCTCACAGACACTGACACATGAGCCGAGCTGTAATTATCAACATAGTTTGTGGATTGGCGTCAAGCATGAACTCTGTTGGACATGCAGACAGTGAACAACAAAAAGATTCAACAGCAGAAAAGCTGAGAGAGAAAACAAACGGGCCAGTGTTTGGAGAGGGAAAGGTTTCCAGTGGGCATGTTTTAAAAACATAAACCTCACCTTTGAGAGAGTGCTTAGCGTGCAGATTTCCATTCTTCCTCCAGTTCTGGTCTTTGGTGGAGAGTTTGTTATGCTCGTCTAAAGCTGAGATGTGAGGTGAGAGAACGCTCTCGGAGATAGGCACACAAATAACTGCAGACAGAAAAATAAGGGATCAAACATCACAGAAAGCAATAGCAACCCTGCTTTCTTTGTCAAGAAACTACATAGAATATTATTCAACCTGATGGCCAACAAGGTTAAAGTCAAATCAATATGGTAGTATGGTAAAATAGTGTGGGTTAGGGATTGCTAAATGTGGCTTTTCAAGGGGATTAACTGCAAATGTTTGGACAGATATGTCACTAAACAAACAACCATTTCCTAGAGGTTCTGCACAAACACTTTCTTCATAAATGAGACCAATGATTCCTAACCTCTGGTCATCAATTTCAACTAGATTTCTTGTTTCTGTCTGACAGCATGTGTTCAACATTATTTAAATGTCTTTGATTCAGTCTCTTGGAAGCAGTCACTTTTTCCAGAATATCTGCATAAGAAATCAAATGTCTGACTCGTACCCTGCAGTCACAACATAACCCAACCTGATATGCTTTGAAAATGTGTGTGTGTGTGTGTGTGTGTGTGCGTGCGTGCGTGCGTGCGTGCGTGCGTGTGTGTGTGTGTGTGTGTGTGTGTGTGGCCTAGCATGTGGGGACCTAAATCTGTTTACAAAATGGAGGTCCCCATGAGGGGAATCATTAATTTTAGAGTGAAGACTTGGTTAGGTTTAGGGTTAGGGTAAGGGTAAGGTTAGGGTTAGGCATGTGTTGGTTATAGTTAAGGTTAAAGTTAGGATGAGTCTCTAGGAAATGCATGTAATGTCAATGTAATGTCCCCTGCAAATGATGTATACATGGTATGTGTGTGTGTGTGTGTGTGTGTGTGTGTGTGTGTGTGTGTGTGTGTGTGTGTGTGTGTGTGTGTGTGTGTGTGTGTGTGTGTGTGTGAGGTACGCACAGTTGCTGCAGCGGTTCCCAGGACAGCACATGGCGTCTCGATGGCAGCGCTTCTTCCTCCTGCGGCAGTTGAGGCAGCGGGGGGGAGACTGCTGAGGGCTGTGGCAGTAGCTCCCCACGCTGCACTCCTTATCGTTGCTGCATGGGTACACCTGCTGAGGAAAAGATGCATTTACTTCATGAATTTACATCGTTCAAGAAAGATCCTGCCTTTTATAAGCTTACATTTGTCTTAACAACGTTGTGTTCAAAGTTGAAAATGTCTGTGATTTCAAAAAATAATTAACAGCTTTGAGACAAAGATAGAAACGGAATATAATAACCAATGCATTTTGCCTTGTAGGTGCAGGTTTGTCAATACGATTTAAGTAAATAAGTGCCAAGTGTGACAATGTGGTGGCAGTGGAATCATCCATATTTTCAGAATATATTAAACAAGTGCATGTCACAATGTGAAGTTAAGTTTTGTTTTATTTTAGCAAGCATGGGCAGGTCTATTTCAAAATGTGCTTTATATAAAAAGTGTTGCCTTTGATATTTGACATTGATAAACTTTCCTCCAAGTCATAAAACAACATGTGGCTGTGCATGAGTGTAAAAAAGGGCTGTTCAACATTTAATGTCATAAAAATGTCCCCTTTTATTGGGCATTAGATCATCTGATTGGCAAACCAATGTGTTTTATCCCCCGAAATGTATCTGATTAAATGTGGCATGTTATGTGTTGGTCGTGTGTGATCTCTGATTCGTAATGATTACAAAATGTTTACCAGATTATCGGAGTGCTGTGATGCAGAGGGCACCGTGGTTACAGAGGAGGCACATTGTGTATTTTGTTGGTCATGCACAACTCTGTAAACCGCAACTTTCCCAGACCTAACACAGTAACATTCCTTCTAATTCCATTCCAAGCACCACAGTTACACCGTGCACCTCAGGTCGCAAAAGTTAAATTGTAGCTGTTAACAAGCCAAATAAAACTCATGTTATGCTTGAGTTAGAAGTCTTTAAAGAGACTCTTGGTTAGACCAAAAACAGGAGCTTGGGAAAAAACTCAACTTAAATTCAAGTCATCATGTAGGAAAAGTCCACATCTTACTTTTACCAGATATAATTTAATCAAGGAGGCAGACAATCAGATAATATCCAACGATATTTTAATTGCATTTATGTACATTTTTGAGATTTGCATTGACTGTTTCAAGAGAAGATTGGTATATTCTTTACTAAGGGAAACTTTGAAGATGTAATTCAAGTTACTGTAAGAGTGACTTTGTGTTTAAGGTTTCTATGCTGCCTCTTCTTTTAGACAGTGATGTTAGATTTTACGAGTGTCATTTTGAACATGTTTTTGACATCTGAACCAAATGCCATTTACCATGAGGTGGTGACAGAAGTCTCAGCAGCATGCAGAGATCTGAAAACTTGGAAAATTAACCGATAACTCTATAAATACTATTGAGGATGAGTAAGAAAATATGTTGATTGTTTGCTTTGGATAAACTGACTACAGGCTGTGGTCCTTTTGCATTCAATTTGAGAGGACGACATGTTGTAGGGATTAACATGTACAATAGACAATAGGACAATAGAGCTATTACAATTTCCAAACCACTTCATTTTCTCTCAATTTCTCTCAAAGTGTTCAGAGGGTTAATGAGTCTACAGACATAATTGAGGGGCAATTACTGCAGCTAATCATACTCCTTCATAGTTAATTTGGCTTTGTTTTTGCTCTAGTATTTCTTGTGTTTACACTGAGATGTTGGGACATTCTGTTGTCCAGCTAGACACACGAATAACTTTTAAGTCTTTACCGTAAGTGCAGTGAAATGACCACTTTAGCAAAAACAACCACTGTCAACAGCAGCGAGAAGTACAATTAAGGCCAAGCTCATTTTTTCCATAGCAAGCGCGTGAACCGATGGGAAGTTTTACTGGAATTCTGCACACATGCAAGAACTGCCCCCGTTCGTTTTAGAGAAGGAACAATAGTGTTTGTTGTACATTTGTTTTGCAAGAAATGTCACAAATTCGCACTGAATTCCTCAAGAGCTACAAGAAAACACCCAAACTCAGGTTGAAGTCCACATGGGCGAGACACTCAGACGCTCAGGCAGGTCACTGGGTTTTTCCAATTGCTGCAAATCCTCTTAGTATTTTAAGCCACTTGCTTTCTACGATAGGGATTTGTTTTTGCAATGGATGGACAACTATTCAAACATGCAGATCAGTGAAAATTGTCAGGATTACATTGTGGCTGTGTAAATAATGTCCCGTGTAGACCGACATTAGAACAACATGTTTGGCTGGCACACCACGACCAGCACCACATCCCAATGTAGCTGGTACTGTACTGACAGATCGGATTTAATGTGGCTTACTTACCACTGACAAACATGGAACAATAAACATGAGAATGAACAAGAAAGAGGGTTAATTTCGAGTATTATAATTTCAGCCACAATAAAAAGGAAACTTCTTTTGGATTTATGACGGTCAGCGGAGAGGGGCTGCCGTGCCCAAAACAACAATAATGACTGTATGCCACATGTTCTATCAACAAAATCAATATTTCAGCACATTAGAAGTTGCTTCAGAAAGTGAACAAGATTAGAGTTGTTGGGCGAATGCCATGCAGACTTTCTCAGGCTGGAAACACATGGAGGCAATGATACAGACGTAGAAGAATGAGCAGGAATATTAAACTGAATCCTCATCCATCATTATGACAGATTCCCACAATGCAGATGCTTAATGTGTTGATGAAAGTAACAAAGCCCTGGTGTTTGATGGATTCTAAATATTTCTTGATTACTACTGTGTTCAGAGCAGTTCTCAGAATATTCAAAGGATTTGTTTCCTCCGATCGTACACATGAAGAACAGTTTACACGTCATGGGGAGAACTTTTCAACAAATGTATTGTCTTCTGTGGAGGAAAATAACTATTGATGTAATTAGGGTTGTCTTGGCTTTGGGGTATAACGATTAATCCGGGGGTTTGAAATAAATGGTTGTTGGCAAGGCAGGTAGGAACAAATACTGTATGGACGCCATCAAGCTGCATTATGGGAAGAGTATATAAATCCAATTAATTCACGGAGAAGCCCTAACATAAGCGCTCCTTCACAAAAAGAAAATCAAAAAAGAACAATATTATTAATTACAGGAGTAGTGTGCCTTTGGCTTTCTTGTAGAAAGTCGGTTAAGAATCTTGTTACCGATTTTTCTCAATGTTCCTGCGCAATAAAGTTACAGCTCCATCTAAAACCAACCCTTTCCATTTTTTTGGAAACGGGCTTTGTGCTTAGAAATTAAACCAACAATATAAATAATTAATTAGTAAGAGCTCTTTATGCTAAGTAAAGCTATTCGCCCCCTGGCTCTAGCTCTGTATCTAACACACAGACATAAGCACTGTATTGATCATCTAATCCGACTATTAGCAAGAAAACAAACTCAAGGTGTACTTTTGAAAGCTTTTAACCACATTTCAAGGTATCTCTCAGCCGATGGACTTTACTCCACTCAGAGAAAAATCTAAGTTTCTTCTTATTCTCATGTCATGAACACATGTTCCACCTCATCAGCCTGTTATTGTCAACTGCTTGTTTTTGTGTCAACTGCTCATTAAGAGGAACATGTACATCACCACGTACTGTTGGGGTGATCACAGTTGAGGAGAGAAATATGCTCAAAATATGGTCTCCGTGACATGAAAAAATGTGCTGCTATCTAAATATGAAGACAAATGGTCCCGAGAGCATGCAGAAGTACTTCATACCCCCTCCGACTCCTTTCTGTATTTTTGGCCAGCTGCTTGGATTGATTGCAGTGCATATGTTAAGGGCAGAAACAGAAGAAGAAACACAGTCGATCACCTCTTCCACCACGGCTCAAACTGGAAGACACAGCCCTTTGAAACCCAACGATACAAGACTGACCCTCAAATCGCATCTGATAATCTCTCCTTATCTTGTCATGTTTTAAAACGCCTCATTCGCATCTTCTGAGGGATGAAGCTCCATTTGGATGCATCTCATTTATCTCAGATCTTTTGTTCTGTTGCTCCCTTATTTTCCCTTCAACAGCCTTCGCACATAAAAGCACAGCCCTGGATCCTGCGCAGGAAGTGGGATGAAAACGGTGTACTCTGCAGCCTCTCTTGGTATGCTGGTGGGACGATAAAGGCAGAGACAGACAGAGGAAGCCCCCCGGCCCTGTCTCGTGCTGCCCTCGTGCTGGTGAAGCGCTGCGGCTTTGAAGAGGAACTTTGAATGTGCAGGAGCAACAATCTACAAGGGATTTACTGCCGGATATACAGGGCTTTGAACCCTTACCACTGGTCTTTGGGTCCCTTATTTACCTTTGTGGAGTCATTCCAAAGTGCTGATATAATGGTGTGGAAGTGCCGCGTAATGCATAGAAATAACACAAAGTATTGCCTCTGCTGTGGAGTTTGAGGGTTTAAAATGCAGAGATGGTGAAGGGGTTCGGATAATATGTTTCACTTTGTACAAAAACACAACAAGGCCCTTTTCAAGAAGAGTGGTTTTCTTTGAACTCTTCTACAGACTTATTGTACAAAGAAATTGCAACAGGGTCCAAACAAAAAAGGCAGAACAAATATAACTTAAAGTTAATTGGTACATTGTTTAACTTTGTTTAACCATGACAATGAAAGTCCTCTAACCACATTTGAGCCAGGACATTGTCGCCTCATAAACATTATTGTCTTTGCAAGGATTTTGGTTTTGCATACAGGAAAGTGCATGTTTAACTAAGAAACAGCAAGTTAAGACTTTCTTTTGAGAGAAAAGTACATAGGCTATCCTCTTTTCTGAACCCCTTTATCACCATAATCATTTGCATACAGTCCCTTTACTGTTTGTATATGATGGGCTACTGCCTTAACAATAACAGCAGTTCATAATTATTGTCTTGCATTGTTTGTGTCTAACCAAAAACATTAAAGAACAAACTACAACAAATCCGAATTTAAAAAAAAGCATCAAACACTCAGCACAAATCCAAACGTTGAGCTCATGCTTGCCCTTGACCTTCAGAATTCAGACACTAACCTGAAACAGTGAATGGTGTTAATGACTGGCAGGGACCTTACAGAGTCAAATAAACGATGTCACTGGATAAACAAACTTCATATGCCCTGAAAGCACAGACAGGCAGTATCAGATTACATAGGGATGGCTGCACACAAGTCACTCGTACAAACCATGTCTTCAAACGCAGCTTGGCGTCTTTCATCACTCAAAACACATGTGTTTATGGGCATGTCCCTTTGAGTGCTAGAATCCAAACTCTCCAAAAACTAGGCTTTCCTTAAGTTAAGTATACATTCTGGGTTGATCTTATTCATCGGACACAAAGAGAGGCACACAGCCAGCGTACATGACTGCGCTCTTCAAAGAATATCAAAGGAAAGGGGAAAAGCTCTGTATGCTATTCTAGCAAGTGGGCTGCTCTAAAAGGTGTAATCCAGGTCGCCTCTCTCATTAACAGGTCCAATTTCAATGAAGTGAGTTTCCACATGAGACCCCTAATGGCTCCAGTGCATGGCCCTCACAGCACCCGAGGGACCCACAGACTGCAAAGGCCACAGGACGAGGGACTGAAGCACAAACGGAGCCGAACGCTAACAAGCACTCACACCTCTTTTCTCAGCTCATTAGGATCACCAAACCTTCATTTAGGGTTAGGGGGCAGGCAGGGCTGAGAGAAAGGGAAAGGACGTGGCTCTACGTTTACAGGCCGAGCCCTCAGAGATCGCTTATTAAAGTCATCTCTGTGTTGAATTAAATAAAGAAACTAGTTGACTGGCTGACTGACCGGGCTGCTGTTTTACAGACACGTACCGCATGAATGCCGCCACGCTGTCGGTTCCCCTGTGGGTTCAGAGGTCACAGTGGTGAGCCTGTGCTATCCATTTCTGTTGGTTCTCTTCCAAGGATCCAACAGTGCCACCCACGAGCGGCAGCTGTCAAGGTCTTATAGGCGTACATTTCGGTTTTGTCGGTTTTACTCGAGACAGGATGATGTGAAAAGGGTCGGACAACTGGAAAGCAATTTGCCCAAGCTGAACCACGCCGAGGGAAAGCCAAAACCCGACCCTGGTTACTGTGTGATTAATGTAAGCCTTATCGCCCAAAGCTGTCAGCAGCAACAGGAAATAAAAGCACATTAAGCTGTCAAACAACCGACAGCTTTGAGAAGCGGTTCTAATTTGATGACTAAAAACACAAATTACAACCTTGTTTCCTGCTTCAGCGGCTCCTCTCCACAGGGTGGCTGGACTCATTCCTCGATAACTTCCCGCATTTAAACATGAGCCACTGAGGGCGATTCTTGGAGAGATTTCTTGTAATTGTAAACTTAACTGTCAGAGAAAGAGCTTCCTTACATGGTGTGAAAATGTTATATATTTGTGTTTGACTGCAGACTGAAAAAAGGGTCATATATTGAGATTATCACTCACAAAACTGACAAAGGTAAAATCTGGAAAGCACTGTAATTTCTCCCAAGGTTTAGTAAACTGACGACTATTTCTTACAAATTTAAACAAACAGCATCCATCGACCATAAATCTTAGATATCAACTCTGAGGTTTCCTCATAATGCAAATGCCAGAGGAGAAATTTGAGTTGATGCATGCCCATTTTCCAAACTTACACCCAAGCCTTAATCAGCAGTAATCACTTCACAAAATCAGACGAAGTTGAAAAATATTTCAGCGTGCCTTCTGTGAACCACTTCAGAGAGAAAGCGTCTCAGTGATGAGCCGTTTGGTGCTGTGCAACCTGCTCAGTGCATTTCTTATAATTAAAAAATCTAAGGTAGAGTAATTGCAGTTATATACTCCCTGTGATCACTCCTAGACTAAATATATGCCTCACTATGCTATTACAGCCTCATGAAGAGAGCAGACTTGTTATCATTGGTTTATTCGGCTCATAAATGGCCACTGAATATGATGAGATGCAGAAGGTCAGTGCAGTTTGCCTGCCAGCGTCAAGCCGCATTTCTGGCCAAGGCTGAGCTGCGGCTGTTACTTTACAACTCTGGAAAACTTCTTGGCATCCAGAACACACACACACACACACACACACACACACACACACACACACACACACACCTGAGACTCGCCAAGGCACACGAGGGAGTAGGCACACACACAGCAGCACACACACACACAGCACACACACACACACACAGGCAACCACACACCACACACACACAGCCACACACACACAGCACAAACACAGCACACACACACACAGCCACACACACACACCAGCAACAACACACCAAATACATATGACGCCCGCTCCTGCCATAAATGCTATTCACCATCTTCATTTGGACACACTGCACCATGACATTTTGTAACAGTGTGGTGGTCTCTGCACACATATATCGGTTCCCCTCAGTCCACTTTTCCAAACCGCTCCACATTATTGCAATGGTAAAGATGTAAGCAGGCGTTCAAATTGAGGTCTGGCAGGGTTTGCTTGAGGTTGGATCTCCACAGAGGAGAGAAAGTGGCTTTTCCATAATTTCTGCTGCCTGAGATGGATGTCAGAGGGCTGCTCTCAGCACTACGCGCTTCACATAAACCCAACACTATCACCACTGCAAGTGATACAACAGACAGTTCAACGGCCACATGTCAACATGAGTTAGAGGCTGAGACCATCAGGCAGAAAAATGCATAAGGAGAAGAGTAATCAGCTGTTTCAGTGTGCTGAGAGACCTGATGGAGATGTGGCAGTGCCATCTGCTGCTCAAAAAGATACTCTGATGTTTAATTAAAACTTAAAGTTAGTGGTTATCTATTTGGGAGATGAAGACTTTGGCATTTGTCAGTTTTTTGTTTGACTGATGTGTCATGTTTCTTTTCCACATTAGTATAAGATCACCTTTCCAAAAAATAATAAAAAATATCCACTTATTTGAAAGATTTGGTGCCTTGGAGAACTTTGCTTTTCCGGCCAAGCAATAAATGTACAGCTCTAATTCCTCACTTGATAAAAGTCACTCATAATGTTCACAACTTGTTACTTTTGCCAGAATAAAGCGTGCCAAATCTTTAATATTTTTTGATCCCACGTTTGCTGTCAAACTACAGTAATATGGCACTTTGTTGAAACAGCAGGAATTGATAACTTTGAGTGGGCATTAAGTGGTTGGTAAGAGTATCCCTCAGAGGCCCCACAGTAAGAATCTCATAATCCCAGCAAGCGTCTGGACCACTTTAATGACACTAAGACCCAGACAGAAAATTACCCTAAGTGTTAACTTTTTCTCACATTTCTGCTGGCATTGATGATTTACTGTTGAAGTGCGACTGTGGCGTCAGGTCTGAAAGGCAATTAGGGTTTATGAGGGGTCCAATCCCTGCAATTTCCAATAACGATTCACACGTGAGAAAGCTCTTTTAAGATATAGTGCTACTTCACTTACACACCTCAAGATCCATCATAACGACAGTTTTGAAGAGGACTCGCACAAGTATGCACTTCTCTATATCCACGGCATACTAATATTGTGATTTACAAAGGGGGAAACTGTTCTTCTTTCTTGTTATGCTTATTATAATAAGTTAACCTTACTTTTTGGACGTTATAATGACCACTAGTATTAATTATTCCACTGCTGCTAATCATGTTGAAGGCTGTGCGTAAATGTACTGCTGGCATATCCATCCATACATCCTCAGATAATTAAATAATTAAATGTACCTGTGCAAGGACGTTGTGTTTCTTGGTGATCCCGATGTGAGCAGTGCGGTTTGTAGCCGGTGTAGGTGACTCTTCCGACAGAGCTGGCTTGATTAAGTTCGCCTTTGGACGCGCCTCTGATACCTGGGATGCCCCCGTCTTCAGTGAAGCGACGAGAAACACCACAACACAGCATCTATTCCAAGTTAGGACGAGCATCCTTGAAAATGAACGTAAAAATACTAAAAAGAGAAAAAAGGGCTTAAATAATCTTAGTTTCTAAATGACAAGTGTGCGCACTGTCAGTGTCCATGCGTTACGCAATACAGAGAGTGGTGATGATCATGAAAATCAGTTAGTCAGAAGAATGACTGCCATCGACACAGTTATCTGAGAGCCCAGTGTAGGAGGGAAACAATGAAGAAGCGGATCTGTTAAAATGCTGATGCTCTGAGGGTCAGAGAGAAACTTGACAAGAGGTTTCCTCCCCTGTCTCCGTCTGGCTGTGAGTGAGCACTTAGTCCTGCAGCCGGGTGTTTTATGATCTCGGATACTTTCTTTTTATAGGATCTAATGAGTTTGCTTCCTCCGCCCCTATTCACAACTGACAAAGAATGAAACTGATCTGTGCGCGGCACTGCTGCTTGCACATTGTCGTCTCGACACCGGCACCAGGAGCCCCGTTGGGAAAAGGCTATAAAATTATACACTGTGTATTTTAACTGGGCGCTTGACCCTTTTTACTGCGAGGCTGCTGGGCGCGTATAGGAAACGGAAAAAGTCAGAGTGGGGCTGCTTTAAAGAGAGTTTGTAGGTAACGTGGATCATTTTACGTTATCACAAGAATGGATTTGTGTTTAGGAAATTGTTACCTGTAGTGATTATAACTGTAAAATCTTAAATATCCCACTAAGGCCACCTCAAAAGCAAAACGCCTCATTATTTAGTCCAGAATGATGTCCTGACCAATGGGACATTTAAATAAGCAAGAGGCGGTCCAGGGTCCATTTAACCAGCATTCCCGAATAACATAGCATTTAAAAAAAAAAAACTATCTGATAACCATTGTTTTCCCTCTGTGGGAAAGGCTTCCCTCATGATGCAAGGAATGTCAATGGTGATAAAGTTAGTGATATAAGTATTATAGAGAGTCCTTTGTTTGAGTCTTGTATCAGGATAAGTTATATTCATGTTGGTTATGTGCTGGTACAATGAACTCTTTCAGTTTCACGCAGGTAAAGCCTATGATTTCGAAAAAGACAAAATGCATTTAGGACAGGGACACACTGGAGATAATTCTTGTTGCTGATTTAATCCCTCTTCTTTAGCTCTCTCCTGTATGTACTAAGTCCTATTTCAGATTTTATTTAATTGCATCAGTGCATTAACCTTATGACTCCCATCCTCCTGAAAATGGGAATATAATGCACAAATATAAACCACATTTTATGTAAATCAAACACAAAATACATCTTATAAATGTGAAGACATAGGCAGACCCATCCATCTTTCCCACAATGGCCATGAATCTCCGCTTATAATGCTTTAGTCTTCACACAAGTGTAATCTATTCAAGGCTGGAAGCTCGGCGGGGCTGGGATGAAACCAGTATACCGGTAAAGGCTTCTGACCTCAAAAGCTATCCATCACATGCTTCAATTCAAAGTGTCAAGTTCTTTTGTTGGAGACAATGCACAACCAACTGAACTGGGGAGTGGGAGGAAGTATTGGACTTGTCTGATGTAACTGTAGATGCTTAGAGGTGATACCTTTTTAGCCACCTTTGTCACCCGAGTGCAACGTGATTTAACTTGAAAGTCATTACAGACAGTTGCTTTTCGCAGAAATATGTTTTTGAAGAACTCATTCATTTCTCTCAGGATTAGTTACCTGCTTGACGTAAACAGTCGTGCAGTCCCACACTTTTCTGATAATCACAACTTGCCACTATGAATATCTGAATTATGCATTCTGTGGGATTCGTTCAAGATTGTGTTCAAATAACCAAGCACAACAAATAAAATGCCTCGGGAAACATCTTCATTTATTCCACAAACGGCGGTGATGCCCATCTGGATTTTGTTTCCCTTCACTGATTAAACAGCTGAAAAAGTCCACAAATGGTGAAAGTGGCTGAAAGTGAACCAAAGGGGCTGGTTTGGATGGTCTTTGGCATTTCAAGCACATGCATCACTTTAATGCATTCAAGCAGCAAAAGAGGAGACACTTAAAATGTTGAATACTGATGAAACCCTGGAGGTCCACAAGTTACATGTTGCTGCTTTGGTACTGATTAATGTGGAGATGCCCAAAGAACCCATAGAAGATGAAATGTGACAGGAATCTAAGTTACAGACGATAAAGTATCCCGATGGAGGGAAGGTGATGTGAATGTTTCAGACAGCAAGGCTTCTGGTGCTTTACTAAAGGTTCTACTGACTCCATTTTTAAGGATGGCAGTGTGAATATGGCACTGATGCTTTGTTACTTATTTCAACACTGTGGGCTAACAAAGGGCTTTTAGGACGTCACCAATTAGTGTCAAAAATGGGGTCATCGAAAAAAAGGAGAGGAAGCAGGCTCAGTTTCTTCACAACTATACTTTACAGACATTCAAGAACAACCCAGGCCAAGACCTGTGATTGTTTTCTTGGCTCTCACAGTTGGAAAGAGTAACCGTGGGATTATTTTATGTCCTGACATGCTATCATCACCCTGCCTTCACATGGTAATCACATTTTGACGACTACTTTTTGCAGGATTAAGGCTCTGACGACATAACCGTTGCTGGGTTTCAGAGTTTAAAAAACCAAACCATCTGCAAAATAATATCACTGTTGATTTGCAATCTGTTTGAGAAAAGCTTAAAATCCACTTTTCCATGTCTTTTATACATAAACATGTGTCCCCTCTGTGCAAAGAGATCAGGCGCTTTCAAACCAAGTACTTTGCCGTACTTAGTTCCCAGTACTTAGTTCATCGGAACTCATTAGTTCCCGGAACTAAAGAGCAGATCGCGTTCACACCGGAATAAGTCCCTGAGGGAGGATTAGGCAAATGAAGCCGCTGGCGTCACTTCTTCTTCTTCTGCTTTGGGTTTACTGGCAGGCCGCAAACAACTTCATGGCGTATACTGCCACCCGAAGTCCCCGGCCGGAAGTCCCCGGAGTCCAGCAGCTTCTACTGAAGCCTTCCGAGTAAATCGCCAGAACGCCGACACCTCCTGATCACTCCACCGCTCCCATGTTTTTTTTTGTGTTGCCATAAGTTACTCTCTCTCCGTTGGTGCGCTGGGCTAATGCTAATAATGCTAATGCGAGGAAATAAAATGGCGGCTTCACAAAAACGTTTCAGAGTTT